TGCTGTGGGGGAGGAGCCTAGGAAGGGGAGCTGAGAGCAGGGGGAGGGACTACAAGGTTGTTTCTGTTCAAAATTTTCTAAGTTTTTGGGTACCCAAGAAACTACATACAGCAGCTTTAAGCAACTTTGGTCCAGTTGTCTAAAAAATGATGAAAAACAAACTTATTGATTTTTCACAAATCAGACAAAGGTTTCCCAAAGCTCAGACTTAGTTTTTATTCTTCTTCTATTAATGTAGAATAATCTAGTCCTGGTTTGAAGAGTCTAGGTGTTGTGGTTTTTGAGCTGGACCAGGTCTAGTGTGGTCCAGTTGCCTAAAAAATTATGAAAAACAAACTTTATTGATTTTTCACAAATCAGAAAAAGGTTTCTCAAAGCTCAACTTAGTTTTACATATTCCACTATTAGTGTAGAGTAATCTAATCTTGGTTTGAAGAGTCCAGGTGTTGTGGTTTTTGGGCTGGACCAGGTCTAATGTGGTCCAGTTGCCTAAAAAATGATGATAAACAAACTTTATTGATGTTTCAAAAATCAGACAAAGGTTTCCCAAAACTCAAACTTAGTTTTTATTCTTCTTCTATCAGTGTAGAATAATCTAATCTTGGTTTGAAGAGTCCAGGTGTTGTGGTTTTTGAGCTGGACCAGGTCTAATGTGGTCCAGTTGCATAAAAACGATGAAAAACAAACTTTATTGATTTTTCACAAATCAGACAAAGCTTTCCCAAACCCCAAACATGTTTTTAAATATTCTTCTWTTAGTGTAGAATAATCTAGTGCAGATTTGAAGAGTGTAGGTGTTGTCGTTTTTGAGCTAGAGCAGGTTAAACACGCGCAAGGTAGTGAAAAATTAGTTATAATATCCCTTTAGTCGTTTCCCGAATCGGAAGCTAACTTCAGCTTCGTCGACAATATCGTCTCAACGTAAATGATCTCAATTTAAAATTCCAACATTAAATTAATGTTCGACCTTTAATTAATAAAGTTGTTGAATCAAGTTAAAACAGTAAACCCGTGAAGGTGGAGTTTGGGAGGCTTTGGTACATCCCTGCAGGCTCTGTCTCATGATTTCAAATCAAGTCCACAGCGAGGACTTTGACCAATCAGATGCTTCTGACAGGTGTGCTCACCTGAATAAACTCTACAGGTGATTAGTGTTTATCATGTAACCTCTCAGAACACAACGGTAATATTTAGTGACACATTTCAGGCTCGTTTAAAACAACAAATCGTTGAAAATCCCCCAACTATCCAGCTGACAGGATGCTACGGAAGTGTTAGCCTGCTCTTGACGTTAGAGCTAACTAAACTATTTTTTAATGGCCATAAAGCGTTTAAACATGACATGATGATAGGATCACTAACAGCTGATGTCCCTAAAACAATCCATTCAAATGATACAGTTTAAATAAAAGCTAAAATAAACCCCCCCGCCCTGCTTCCCGGCAGGTAAACAAAGCTGGGAAGCTAGGCGCTAACGTTAGCCGCCATAAAACGGAGACTTACAGTAATAAGACACGACCGGGTCCCGGTTCTCATGCTCCTGAGCGGTCCGCAGGTAGTGCTGGATGGGTCTGAGCTGAGCGGGCAGGGCCATGAGTGGGTTACAGCTCCTCCAGGAGACACAAAACTCATCAGAAGAGTCAGTGTTGTTGTTGCTTATCAAATTGCTTTCACTTCCGCCTCTGTGGCCAATCACAGCAGCCGGGGCGGATGACGTCAACAGATTTAGTGCAACTGATACCAGTGCCCAGTATTATTATGGGAAGGCATTTATTTATTTATTTATTTATTCATTCATTCATTCATTCATTCATTCATTCATTCATTCATTCATTCATATTATCCTCCTGAAATAAACTCCATAAATTAAACTAAATTTAAAATGAAACGCTACCATAACTATAATTTAAGTTTTACAAATAATAAAAAGTATAGTCATAAATGTAAAAAGCAGAGTAGATTTTAGCCATTTTGTGAATATTTCCTAAGACTTTCCATGTATTAGGTTGCGACATCAAAGTTTAATAAACAAACACAAAGTTCTCTAATGAGTCTGATATAATGAATGAAAAAAAAGATTGATACGTTTTTATGTGACCAATAATTTACTGGAATTATACATTTTAATTTATGTGGCCGAGGCCCAAAATATTTATTGCCAAAATGAAAACCCATCTTCTTACAGACACACAAATGCAGATAAACTCATTTTACAGGAGTGACATTTGTGTTTTAAACCTTTTACAGATGAACCAGGTCTTGGATCGATCCACTGAAAATAAAAATGTGAAATAAAAGAAGGGTTTATTCACTTCTGTCTGCTAATGAATGTAGAACCTGAGGTGATAAACAGATAGCTGAAAACGTCCCAAGAAAAGCTGGATGGATGTCTGATTAAAAAAAAAAGAAAAACAGAAGAGGTAATCATTTTCTAATAACACTGACGTCAGAAGCAAAATTACATAAAATATTCAAACCTAAATAAAAAAGAAGAGGAAAACACCTAATCAGACCTGAACAAAACCTCAGAATGAACTTTCCTTCCTTGTTTGTCAGAGCAGGAACACCTTGAATCACAAAGACCCCCAATTTTCCAATCTGGGTTTGTCCAAACTTGTTAAAAACTAATCAGAACTACAAGCTGAGACCACTTTCGACTCACCTTGAATATTGTGAGGAAGCAGCTGTTGTTCAAATATCTTTTCAAACAATCACCCTGCTTCAAACTTCCAACAGTTCATCCATCGATAAATAATTTTATGGTACAATGAATTTAAATTCAGTTATACAAATACACACAGTCTTCTCGTTTGCTGTTTTGTACCCCAAAAAAGACATATCTAGTATTATAAAATGGGGTTAATTTTATTTTTTCCACACATAATTTTTTAACTTTCTGATCCTCCTTTTTGAAACTCTAAAGTTTTGTTTCCATAACTTACGTCTTTGAAGAGATCTTTTACCTTCAGTGGAACACATTTCATTGCAAACATTTTATGGGTGATTTCTTTCTCATATAGTTTTATATTAAACTTGTTTGATTCCTTTTATGTTAGATTGGTGGTGAAGGTTGGTTCAGGCTCCAGCTGCTCCATCAATCAATGACTGCTTCACATGAAAGAACAAAGACCATTGGTGCCAAATGTTCAGTTGTCCTGGAAAGACCCTCACAGTGTTCCATGCTCTGTGATCCCCTCGTCAGGTCTAACCACCAATTCATATTGTTTAAAGATAGTCTTTAAATTAAGGCTTTCCAAATCTTTTCATAGTTTTTCACTCACTAACTACTGGAGATTTGATTCCCAAAAATAGGTTTTAGTGACCCCCTTGCTGTTCAGAACCATTACATTTGCAACAAATTGGGCTTCAATTCCATATTTTTCCAAGAAAAGTCAAAATGTTTAGTTGAACCAGGAAGCTGATACCCGATGTTTAGTTTTTTCTGTAAATAAAAAAAACGGAATTGTATGAGTCATTTTTAAACAACTCAGGAGCAGGTAGAAGTTCTCTAACCGTTCCATCTGTCCAAACAACACCTTTGGACCCAGCCAGGATGGACCTGCTGACTTCTAAAACACAACCAGGGATGTTCCGTTTATGCCGAAAGACAACAAACACCAGGAATGTCTCCAAGTGGTTGCTTTTGTCTTGGTGCCTGTCGTCATTATCATACCACAGGTGAGATTGGGCTCTTGTGTTAACTTGTTTTATAAAAGTTTTGCTAACACTGATTCCAGTGAACTCCGACAGTGATCGTGTCAAACGTTTCCACTCTCCGTTTGTTCATTTGTGTCACTGGTTGTTGAGATAACCGAGCCGCCGGCAGAGGATCTCAAATATCTCCGCGATGCACAGAAGTATGGTGATGACGGTGAAGGTGTACATGGCGCTGAGGAAGATGGTCTTTTCAAAGTGTTCTGGTACCATGCATTTAGTCACATTAAAAGCCTTTTCCAAAGAGCTGGCGTCACACACGTACAGGGCATGAACCTGAGAGAGAGAACAAAAGAATCAGTCTAGGATATTGGTGATATTAACCACGGACATATACGGTTTCAGTGTAAATATAGATGTGTTATAAATATACTGTAACAGGTCTTAAAATGAGGTATATTTAACCCTTAAATAAGCAGCAACACATGATATATTTGACTCTTTTAGGGTTCTTTCACACTGCAGGTTACACTCTTCACGACCTATTAGAATTTAATAAAATTTAAAACCTTCAGAGTGAATGAAATCACAATGATCTCATACATCTTTGCCCTCTGACCTGGTATGACATTCTTCAACTGCATCACAATGTAGCTGTTACATCCGAACTGGGCGTTTCTGTGACTTGATCACCATCATGGTTGTAGTCTAGACAAGGGACCAGCACAACCAGTCCTGCTTTAAATTCTTAATGATCAAGCCACACCAGTGTTTGCAGGCTTCAAGTCATGGATACACTGACACCATTTCAACCAAGACCTTGATATGTTGCCATCAGGATAATACGTAAACCAGCCCGACATCACAATGGATATTTTGTCCATGCTCAAAACCATTGCAGACCTATCAGGATAATAAACCAACCCAACATCACGATGGACAGTTTCTTCATGCTCAAAACCATTGTAGACCCATCAGGATAATAAACCAACCCAACATCACATTGGACAGTTTTTTCATACTCAAAACCATTGTAGACCCATCAGGATAATAAACCAACCCAACATCACAATGGACAGTTTCTTCATGCTCAAAACCATTGTAGACCCATCAGGATAATAAACCAGCCCAACATCACAATGGACAGTTTTTTCATACTCAAAACCATTGTAGACCCATCAGGATAATAAACCAACCCAACATCACGATGGACATTTTGTCCATGCTCAAAACTATTGTAGACCCATCACAATAATAAACCAGCCCAACATTGTGATGGACATTTTGTCCATGTTCAAAACCATTGTAGACCCATCAGGATAATAAACCAGCCTCACATCACGATGGACATTTTGTCAATCCTCAAAACCATTGTAGACTCATCAGGATATAATAAACCAGCCCAACATCACGATGGACATTTTGTCAATACTCAAAACCATTGTAGACTCATCAGGATATAATAAACCAGCCCAACATCACGATGGACATTTTGTCCATGCTCAAAACTAGGGATGCACGATATATCAGCATTAATATAGGTATCGGCCGATATTGGTCATTTTTTAGAATATCGATGTTGGCCCGATATGTAAAACTGGGCCAATATTAATGTCCGATATTGATTTCCCTCATTTTATCTTTGTGTTTCTGTTTTGGGAGGGGAGACGGTTGGTTGAGCTACATCTGTTTGATCATGATGGTGATATTGACGCTGCGTAGCCAGGAATAACTGAAGCAGAGAGCCATGCCAGAGGTCTGGTCGTTTATTTATGGTATCAAAAAAAGACCCAAGTGTGTTTGTGCATATATGTATAATGTAATTTGTGTGTTTGTGTAATATTGGTAAATATCGGTTATCCGCCATAACAGCAATAATTATATTGGATAACGATATTGGCAGAAATTTTCAAATCGGGGCATACAAAACCATTGTAGACCCATCAGGCTCCATCACGGGTATATGGTAGTCCACTGTGTTCCCAATAAGCTCTATATATCTTACCAAGACCCTTCAAAGACCACCCACATTCTGACTAATATTTTGTACAGTAGGGTCACTGTTTGGTGTGAAGGAGGTCTACGAGAGACACAATTACTTGAGAAGAACCACCTTTATGGCTATAGCGCAAAGTAAATGTTCTGAATGGTGTCTTTGTATAAAATTCTTATACTAACAGTCTATTTTATTATTTAACATGTTTTGTTTGGACTAGATCTCTTACTGTGTTTGATCTACTGTTAATATCCATTTTTCCATTGCTTCAGCGATTGTCCAAGAATGACTAAATGGGAAACAGAGCCTTTTCTCACTCTGCTCCCCAACTCTGGAACTCTCTTTCCCCAGACATCGGTAATACTGACCTTCTTTTAACCTTTAAATCACAACTCAAAACTCATCTGTTTAAGTTGGTTTTAATTTCTGTAATTCAGTTTGTAGTTTTAGTGTCTATTGCCATTTTGTTTTGTTTAATTTTGTGCTTTTAATGTTATACAGTGTCCTTGGTTGTCCTGAAATGCACAAACAAATAAAATGCACTGCTATTATTACAGAATTATTAAATGACTGAAATAAATTGGGAACTGGAAATTTCAGCATTAAATTTTGTTTTAAATCATTAAAATTTGACAGACCTGGAAGCCGAAGAGGTGGCTCTGCAGCCAGAAGGCGATGATTTCCAGAATGATGCGCAGAAGAACAGAAATTATGTAGAAGACTGTGTAGATGGGTCGGTCCAGGATCTCCTCTTGGTCGGTGTTCTTACAGGCAGCGTAAAGATGAAACACTGCTCCAGGAACCAACACAGTTACCAGCTGTAACGCCCAAAACACCTGCAGAGAGCAGAAACATGATCGTGTTAAAGATAACAATGAGACACTAATACAGGAACTAATTCAGAAGCCTGGCGTGTCGATTGTCACATAAATCATCATTTCATTTGTAAAACACAGAACAAGGCTTGCTTTGGGTTTTTTTTTTTTTTTTTTTTTTTTTTTGTATGACATAGCCAGTGGTGGGCACCAGCTCGCTAAAGGGCAAATCCGCAAATTGCGGACCTAAATATTTCATTTTCGCTTTAGTGGTCTTGCTAATTTCTATAATTCATAAGCAGATTTGTGCAGTCTAAAATTGAAATGTAGTACTGCTAATAACTAATTATCTAACAGTCACCATTATCTTGAACAGTGGAAGGTATGGCTGTCAATGAATCACAACACATGTGATCTGTCCAACAGCACCCCTCCCAGAAAAACACACTTATTGAGAAGGTATACATCCTGCTGACTGTTGCTCTCGGTCACGGTTCTGATTTCCCACAATGCTTTGTGTCTGCTTATGTAGCAGGAAGGCAATAGCAAAAACGGTTAACGTTTGTAATCCATACTAAAATTTTATATATATTGATTTATTTTACTTTAAAATTGGAGCTCCTTTTTAAAAAAAAAATAATAAAGTTTAAACGCTGGAGCTCAATATTTGACGTAATTGGTCGAAGCAACAGGGTTAAAGACGCAGAAATGATTTAAAGATGTTATGCTGGTGAAGACTGACATCTAGTGGTCAACTGGAGCAACTACATGGAAAACTTAAAAATCCAAACTCTTATTTTGAAGGGAAGATAGTTTCCTGTACTGTGTGCTTTCGTTTCCTGTCACAAATCAAATCCGTCTTGTACCCAGAATGCATCGCTTCAGTTTTCCAATAAACAGTTTTAAAATTACTTTATTGATGCTTGTTTAATGAAAAATCTATAACAAACAAAAGAAAAAGACAAAGCAGCCGAACTAGCAATCCTCAACAACTTTTTAATTTTTACACCAGGAGCCAAAGGTCTGTTTCATGAAATCACATCCCCAGCAATCGGCGGTTGTAGAATTAAGTTGAAAATGTGTTAATACACCACTAGTTGGCAGTGTTGTACATATATTGTATATGAATTGTTGCCGGCTAGTAAATGTCAAATTGAACTTGCGCTTTAAAATTAGCTTCCACTATTTTTTATAAGGCGTAAGCACTTTTGAAGTTGCGTACCTAAATATTTTCATCAGCGCTTTAGAAATTGAGGAGCTAATTTTTGGATTAGCGCTGCCCACCACTGCATGTAGCTCTTGTTGACTTCATCCATTTTAAAATGTTTTAAAACAAGACAGGGCTAGAACCCTTTCCAAAAAGGCACTAAACTAATATTTTCCCAGGAACTGAGATGCTGACAGCAGTGATCTAGTAGAGGATGCTGAGAGCTTCCTCTGGTGGCTGCTGGCGGTACAGCTTAGTCCCACCTGAGGTGTTATGGGTCTGAACTGGTTGTAGCAGAACAGGTTGAGTTCCCGGCGGTCGGGGTCGCAGCTGAAGTGAAGGGCTTCATTCCCGTAGACGGCGAATCCCAGAACGCCCAGGAAGAACATCCGGACGGATCCGAAGAACAAGGTGTGGAACTGGCCTATCACCGTGGGAGGCCTGAGCTGGAACACATTCAGAGAGGCGTCATTATTCACCACGTAGAGGAAAACATGTTCCCACACAGGCAGAAAGAAAAAGAATAAAGCTTTTGTCAGGCAGATAAACGCTGCTGCGACGCACTCACCCTGAACTCCAACATCTGAAACAAAACCCATTCAGAGGAACCCTCTCTCTCATCTCTACCTGCGCTCATATAAACTCTGCTTGCCGGAAAATAAAATAAAGGCTTAAGTGACACAAAGCTGAGCGGCTGTCGGCTCACAGATGTGTCAGCTACGTGGAGAAGATGGTGAATTTAAAGGATTTGTTTCAGCTAATGTCTCATCTACTCACGCATCCTTCGTAGAAGTTTCTGATGTAGTTTAAAGACATGGTTTTCTCGTTGAAGTCCCCCGTGTAATCCTCAACTGGATCTGGACCCTCATTGCAACCGGTACCAGTTTCAGACCACAGAAAGGAAAAAAAAAACCAGGACAGAGGACCTGGGTTGGCTTTTTATCCCTACATCGACTGATCCACTCAGTAGAAAAAAGGACAACAGTGACCGAGGGGCCAACAATGGCCCAGGGGTGTTGGGGCGTGTGGTCCCTGCTTTGTAATCCCTTCAGGACTACGTCAGCGAAAAAACCCCAACCCTCACCCTCCACAATGCAGAGAGGAAAACAGGCAACAAAAACACAATCCTGCTTCAGGTTTTATTTGTATCAGTTAAAGTTTGGAGCTTTACTTTGAAAAACTCCCGCTGAATTAAAGCATTTCATAAATAAAAGACTTTAGACCAGATTTTGGTGGAGTTTAGGTAGATAATCGATGAAATCAGCACCAGAAACACACAAAGACACAGAATCACACAGAAAACACCTCAGTGTGAGTCTTCAGGCAGAAAAATCAGCCGAAACTCGAAGAACGAAAGAAAAGGAATCCAACACACCAACCGTAACCCTGGAGCCGTGTTCATCCCCCCCACTCTGTTTTCTGTCCATGCATCCTGGACTCATCCTGCTGCTGGACCTGCAGGGTCAGAGAGCAGAGTCAAACCAGGTGAGGCACTTCCTGTTAGGCCTTTCAAAATAAAGCGTAAACAGGAAAACACCAGTTCAGAGCGGGAATCATAAACACATTTCTACACGGGTCTTTCAGCGCTCACTGCTCTTTGTTCTCCTCCTGTTGTTCCAGCTGAAGGTCTGATTCTCTGCCTGCTTTCTTCTGGACCAACCAGGCAGGACGTTAAACATCAGATTTGTATTTTTCCCTCCGATCAGTCTGCTCTGTCAGGACTAACTCGGCGTGGATGAGGTGTAATCATGCAGCCGTGTTCAGCTGCTTCACCTGTTACCTCGATGAAAACGTCCTGATCTGCTCTGAGCCTCATTCTTCAGCAGGACGATGAGATGAACGAAAGCTGCCGGTTCTGGAGAGAGGCCCGGTTCTGCACAACCCTGATGAGAAACTAGCAGAAACGAGACAAAGATTCACAGAATCCTGATCAGTCAATAATTCATGTCTGATTTCACAGATTGTTTTTTTTTTTTAGGCAGGAACACGAGATGAAGATCCAGCTCTGGTCCTCCCACCTCTGACTCGTCCATCTGTGAGCGCCTCGCAGCAGAGGAACTCCAAACTGAGACTTTGAGGGCAGTTTGTCTCATTAAAGCAGCAGAATCTCACAGATGGCCACTTTCATCTCCAACCTCCATGTTCTGGAACAGAAACACTAGAAGAGACCAGAAGAAGTCCAAAACTCCAAACTCTGATCCAGTTTTTAAAACCAGGAGGTGGTTTTTGCAGCATCGAACCACAAAATAAATTAAAAATAAATGAATAAATAAAAAGTTTTAGTCATGACAAGATGACATGTTTGAATCCAATCCTGGATCAATCAAAACACATTTAACCACTTGGTAAAGTGCAAACACAAACTCTGCTGAGAATTTTTATTTATTTATATCTCTTTTTG